TATTAGTATTTGAACAAATTGGTACAGTGTTGCCCAAGGCTTTAGGCATATAAAAGCAGTCTTATCACACATAACATTCCAAAAATTCAAAGCTCAGTTTTTAGGATCCTACCTACAGCTGGTCCCAAAAATGGATCTTATTTGGGATTTGCTGCATTTTAGCAACTGGTCTCGAGTTTGTTTGTTTTTTTTCCCGCTGCATAACCTGTAACCAGATTAATTAGGAAAAAAGAAAAAAAAACACACAAATTACCAATATTAGGAATCTGAGAGGAAAGTTACTGTAGATGCTATAGATTTTAAAAAGATAATAAGGGAGTATAATGAATGATTTTCTGACCATATATTTAGCAGCTGAGATGAAATGCATAAATTACATGCAGTGTACAAACTCCCAAAGGCCCCTCTAAAAGAAATAGATAAAAACTTCACAAATAAAAGTAATTCTAGGTGGCTTCATTGTAAATTTCACCAAGCGTTTGAGGAAGAATTAATACCAAGTCTATACAAGCTCTTAACAGGCTAAACTAATTCTCCACTCCTTCTTGTAAACACTCATTACCCTGATACCACGACTAGAAACATTACAAGAAAATTACCAACCAATATTCCTAAGGAACACAGATTCAGACATCATCAATGAAATATTAGGAACTCATTCTTACAAAAAAAAGATAATACAAAATGACTTTTAGGAATATATTGTCAGTTCAGTGTTAGAAAAACTATTCACTGGAATTCTTTTCATAAGGCTAATTCAGAAAACCATATATAGAAAAATGATCTGGAATATACATAGCACTCAAGGATAAATGCATCAAAAATGTGCAAGATGTTGAAATTTGCTGCATTTTAGCAACTAAAGTCTGCTGAGTTTTTTTTCCTGCATAACCTCTAATTAGATCTATCAGGAAAAAGGAAAGAAGACACAAATTACCAATATTTGGAATCTGAGAGGAAAGTCATTATATGCTATAGATTTTAAAAGGATAATAAGGGAGTATAATGAATAATTTTATGTATATTTACATTTATATTCAGTGTATATACTGAAAGGCCCCAAAATGCTAACAATAAAGATTTGCTTAAATAGGTATCCTGTTCATAGTTTAGAAGAAGCAGTGTTGTTAAATATTCATTCTCTGAAAATCTTTTGATTCAGTTCAATACTAGTCAAAATGCCAGCAGGTTTTTAAATTGGAAATCTAAATATGAGATTTATTTGGGAATATAAACAACAGACTTAGAATAATGAAACAATTTTAAAAAGAACAAAATTGGAGAAGTTACACAGTTTGAATAGAAACCCATAGTAGAGCTGTAGTAATCAAGACAGCTTGATATTGTCATAAAGATAGGCATATGTATCAATGGAGCAGAATAGATTTTAGAATTGGACTCAGTTCTTCCTTTTTCTTTCCTTCTTCCCTACCTCCCTCTCTTCCTTCATTTTTGTACTGGGGATTGCACCCAGGGCCTTGTGCATGCTAAGTACATGCTCTACCAATGAATTACACCCCATTCTGGTCACTTAATTCTTAATTGTCAAGGTTAATTCAGTAAGGGAAAAGAAAAACTTTTCAACAGTGGTCCTGAAATAATCATATATCTATATGCAGTAAAATAAATTGTGACCATATCATGTTTGGAAAATAGCTATAAATGGATCAAAGACATATAAGAACCAAAGCTATATAACTTACAAGAAAATTACCAACCAATATTCCTAAGGAACACAGATATTAGGAACTCATTGGTATCCTTGGTATCCTTGCTCTGGATATAAAAGCATAAGACATAAAAAGAAAATGAGATAAATTGAGGTTTTCAAAAATTAAAACATTGCTAAGAAAATGAAAGGATCAGCTTTGGGTTGTAAGAAAATATTTTCAAAGCACCATCTGATACAGAACATTTTAAGAACAGTTATAACTCAGTGATATGAAAACAATCTGATTAAAATTAGAGAAGAGGTATGGATAGCAAATAAGAACATGTAAAAATTCTCATTGTCATTAGGAGTTAGGGAAATGTATTTTTTTAATTTAATTGTTTTTTATTTTGAGACAGGGTCTTGCTAAATTCTGGAGACTGACTTTGAACTTATGATCCTCCTACCTCAGTCTCCAGAGTCACTGGGATTACAGGCATGCACCATCACACTGGCTTCAGGAGTTGACTTCATAAAGACATGCAGGGTGATGGAAATACATCATGATTATTGTGACCATATAACTATACCTTTGCCAAAGTCGATTTATATACTTAAAAGTAGTGAATTTTTGGTAAATCATTTTTTTCAGAATAATTTTAAAAGCAGACACACTGAAGAAAAAAAATATTAAGTAATGCACAGAAGTTAAAGATGAAGAATGGACAAAGATAAATTAGGAACATGAGCAAATGTCTTTGGGCCATTTCAAATTCAGTCACAACCAGATCCATGAAGCTATTAAATTCCACAAAGCAGACATCTGTTACTGTACTACAACAAAACTAGAAATTAATCAAGTTTATAATTTATAAATAACTTATTCCATAAAACCATAAGGGGGAAAAAGCAAATCAAAACCACAAAAAATAAAGTGTTTAAAAAAATAATGAAAATATAATTATTATCCTTTTAAATGTATAGAATGTTACCAGAGATAAGCTGGGAATTATATTTATTGTACTATTTTAAAAAGAACTGAACAAAGAAAAAGATCACTGATAGATACAAAGTCATATAAAATTAATATTATTTGTACAAAGGCTGATGGATCAGAGTGAATTAAAATATTAAAAAAAACAAGCCTCATCTTATTAGTTTTCCCAAAGTTTCATTTAAAAAAATTTTTGAGATCACAAAATATTTCTTGTGTGTCTAATTCTTGATTATGTCTTTTTACAACTATTTCCCCACAATCTGTGCAATATTGGTGCTACGTTTCTAGTATTCACTGAAAAAGTAGAAAGATAGATATCTATATGGCCCATTTTAACATAATGGAAATTCAGTGTTTCTGAAGTATGACTATATTCATATAAAGAAACCAAAGAGAAGTTTCTGAAAAGATCAGCAATCTTTTTCATTGTGGAAGGCAATCAAGGATGAACTTTGGGTTTCTAATTTTGAGGGATTATTTTGTTGTTTTTTTTAAAAAATATTATTTTTAAAGCATATATCACTTCTAAAACAAAATATGAAAATTGATTTCTTAAAAGAGGCAATTTTTTTTTTTTTTGGTATTGGGGAGTGAATCCAGGGGCGCTCAATCATTGAGCTCCATTCCCAGCCCTTTTTTGTATTTTATTTAGAGGCAGAATCTCACCCAGTTACTTAAGGCCTTGCTAAGTTGCTGGAGCTGGCTTTGAACTTGGGATCCTTCTAAGGGAAGCAATTTTTATTAGCTCTGATTATGGAAGATTTTTTAAAAAGTTATGGCTTCATAATTTATCATTAAATATAGACAGAATTAGGAAAATACTTTAAGTGAGCAATCTTTCCTCTGCCTGTTTTTTGTTTTTAGCATAGTCTACTTTTGCTGTTTGTGGGGTGTACCTACCTGAAGCATGCTACCCTTTCTTTCTATGTTGAATATGTATTGAGCTACTTTATGTTTGGTGTTCTTTCAGCATTTTCATCTCCTTTTCATATGTAATCAATGTTTTCTAACTGCTTTTAAACATGAAGAATTTTAAAAATTGGGCCTCAGTATTCAGTAGTAAGCATATCCATTTTTTAGAGAGTTCTGAATTGTGATTTTAGTCTTTGTCCATTCTGATTTTCATTGCATCTATTAAGTTTTTATTTCTGTCACTCAGAATTTTATTTCTAATATTTATGGTTCATCCAACATTCTTTTGTATTTCTTTAATATGATGCCTATTTTAAATTCTTACTAGTTTATACTATTTATATTCCTTTGGTATTCATTTTTCTCTTTCATTGGATTTCTTGGCTCACCTTAATTATACTGCTTTCCTTTAGTGTCTGTTAGTTTTTACTTGTCCAGTTGTCTTTATGTTGAGAATCTTTCCTCTGCCTGTTTTTTTGTTTTTAACATAGTCTGCTTTTGCTGTTTGTGGGGTGTGCCTACCTGAAGCATGCTACCCTTTCTTTTTATGCTCAACTGCTTAATCCTCTGGGTGAGCTACCACAAGAGTTATCCATTCCAGCTCCTCAATAATAGGTTGTCCTCAGGCATATTTGCTGCTTTTTAAGAATAGTTGACTCTGATTCTTAATTGCTTCTCCAGAACCACCTGTATCTGAGGACTTTTTCCCTATCAATTGTGTTTTTTTCTCTGATAGTTTCTTAATAGATCTAATCTTGCCTACTTAAATCTTTGGAGAATTTCTCAAAATACTTGTTTTACTATTAGTAATATTCGTTTGTGATTTTCAGCCTCTTTTTTCCTATTAAAATAATATCTCATTTCAAATAATACTTTATTGGAGAAAGAAGTATAGCTGTATGCTTAGTTTGACATTTGATTTAACTTGATATTTAACATTTAGCAGTGTTTTGGTTATATAGTTGGGCTTATTACAGGATAATCTTAGAGCTAAAGACTTTGGTTTTCGAGTATAATTATGGAGCAAGACAAATGACCCATGTGTGTTTTCTCTTGAGGAGCTAGAAATGTTTTACCCACAGTGACTCTTTTAGTAGTTTCTCATCTCCTAATTAGATTAGAGTTTAGATCATTTTTCCAGTGAGGAAAATAGCATTTAAATTTTGAGCAATTAATTCATTTCTGAAAAGTCCTTAAGGACTTTTCCCCATGTTAATTAACTAACTCATTTAATCTCCAGTTTCTTTTAGAGATTACTAGTCTAATTCTGGAACATAAACTAGGATAATGCTCACCAAAGGCTCTACATTGTTATCACTCTGTCTCAGCAGAACATAATCTTCCTAATAGTCCACATTGTTGAACATTAGTCATTGTTTTTATTTATGTAAACTTCAGCTGTCCTTAGCTAAAGCTTTGTTGTTGTGTCTTATTCCCTAGCTTGGCACTGTTAAAAGCAGTCTTCAGAATATTAAAGAAACCAAAAGTGATGATGTAAGTTGTATTAACACTAATAACCCAGAGAAGAGCATTCGAGTCACTAAAAACAAATTGAAGAATACACATTCAGCAGCTGAAGATTCAAATGATGATGTCAGTGTAGAGGAAGACAAGCAAGGGAAGCCAAGTAAAAAGATTACAAAGACCACACAAGAAATGGAACCAGAAACTTCTGAGAAGGTAGATTTTGCACATCAGAAAATGCGAACAAAGTCATTGTCCGGTGTTGATCATCAAAAAAGTGATAAGACAAAGGAAGGAAAAGAAAATAATACTTTAGAAGGAGAAGAAGAACTCATGCAAGCATACCAGCTCCAGGTAGCTGAAGAAATGGCAAAGGAAATTAAGAAGAAAATAAGGAAGAAACTGAAAGAACAGTTAACTTACTTTCCCTCAGATACTTTATTGCACGATGACAAATTGAGCAGTGAAAAAAAGAAAAAGAAGAAAAAGAAAGTTCCAGCCATGTCTAAAGCTGAAACAAGGTACTTTACATAGATATATATTTTTTTAATATATTCTTATTTCAGCTCTTGCATGACATCTGTAGTTTAATAAAATTCTTGATCTTTAATTTGGAGACACTGCCACTAGGAGAACAGCAGCTGACCTTATGCAGCACCTTAACTTTGTGTTAGGAGCTTTATGAAAATTAACTCATTTATTCCTTATTACAACCCAATGAAGAAAAGTAATATCATTCTGTTTTTCTGATGTGGAAACTAAAAGGTTTAAGTCACAGAGGCTGAGCCAGATCTTGGCAGCTTAACTCCAGAGTTTCTATCTTTACCCACATACTTCTCCTTATAAATAATAGAAACCTAATTACTTCCCCCTTTTTGAGTTATAAATGCCCATTTGGACATGTGAATATAACTTTCCTTATTATACAAATAACATTTTCTCATTGTAGAACAATCATTCAAAGATAATCACTGTTGGCAATTTGGTATTTAGTCTTTATATATATATATACACACATGTATGTATATACATGTATCTGTATGTATATACACACACATACATATACATATATACATACATATACATATATACTTGTGTATATCATTTGGGTTTCTGTGAGTATATTTATATTTATAGATTCTCTCTTTAGAGAAAACAGTGAGATTTAAAAAATGCCTTTTACCTGCCATAATTTTTTTTTGCAGTCATCTAGAAGCAACTTAAGGTGGGAACATTCTGTAGATGACTATTCCTTGGCATTCCAGGGCATTTTCCTCTAAAGCTCTTGGCTAAAAGTAATTCCCCTCTTATCATCACAAGTTAATGGACCAGTGGTAACAAAGAGAAGGACAGTCAGTTTGCTAAAGGGATATGTTAGTATATATAATATATATTATATATATACTACAACAGTTACCTGTTGCTGCATTAAAAAATTACCCTAGAACATAGCAGTTTAGAACAACAAACACTTATTGTCTCTCAGTTTATGTGGTTTCAGGAGTCTAGAAATGCCCCTGAGTCTCACAGGGTCTGTCACAGGCAGGAGTCAGGATGTTAGCTGGGCCTAAAGCTACTGCTAGTCTTGATAGGGACAGTCTGCCAGTGGACATAGCCATTAGAAGGCCTCGGAAGATCTACTTCTAAGATCAGTCATATGCATGTTGGCAGATTTCAGGTCCTGACTGGCTTTTAGCCAGACATCATTGCCCTGCCATGTGAACCTTTCCATGTTTGCTATTCACAATGTGGCCATTTGCTTCCCCAGAGCAAGGGATCCAAGGGAGTGAGAGCAAGACAGAAGTCACAGTCTGTTTAAGATCTTATTGTAGTATTGGATGACTCCACTATTTCTCATACTTAAAGAGAAGGGGGGGTATACAAAGAAATGATTATGAAGACACAGGAATCATAAGGGCTGCTAAAAATACTGTAAATACAGTGAATCTTTCTTTTTTCATAGATTTTTTGATGTAGAGCTAGAAAGCCATTCTTACTATAAAGTAGAACTATTTCACAAATTTTAATTAAAACCATGTCTTATATGACGATAGTATGCAAAGGGTAGCTATTATCCTTAAATAGTTGCAAACAAACTTTCATAGGCCAGCTTCTCTTTAAACTTGGTAAACTTCTTGGCTGCTCTTATCATTTTTGGTTTATATGATGCAGATTTTTATTTTAATGATAGCCTTCTGAAAATATAGTCACACTGGAAAACGCACGGAATTAGTTTTTACCTAGAAACCAAAAGTTATTTATCTGAAACCTCCTGAAAACAGAACAGACTTATAATGCTTTTTTGTTGTTGTTTTTGCCTTTACACAAAGTGATTTAGAAGTTCATTAATTATTTACTTGGCATCAGTGGTCCTATGTAAGACAGATCTATTGCTCATAAAAGATTATTTCATTTTTTTCCCCTGGGGTTTAGAGCTCGATGTGTTGACCTTGGGGTATATAATTCAAGCATAAAATAGTCCCTATAATACCTAGTTTGATGTCTGATTGTTATATAAGAAAATACATGCATGTTCCAGCAGATGACAACATATTCTTGCTTCTGTTTACCATTCACTCTGTTCTACAATGAATAATGATTATTATAATATTAATATATTTGTAATTTCTTGTACTTGGTTTATATTTGCAGCACATTGAACATCTCTGATGACACAGTTGAAGATGAACAAAAGAAGTACTCGCCAGTTGGAAACATTACTTCAGATTCTCATCAAGATGATGAAGTAAGCTCAGTGGAACAAAATGCAGATGATAACATGCCAGATAACACAAAGTCCAAACCAAAAAAGACAAAAAAGAAGACTAAAGCAGGTTTGTTACACTAATTAAATGAGAAATGGTGTGCTTTTGACTCTAGGAATTTTAGTTCTTAAAATTAAGCCTAAAGATATAGTTTAAAATAATCACATGTATAATATTTGGTACTTGTTCTGGATTCATCTTGATTAAAAGCATTCATTTGTAATTATAGGTTGCTGTGATGGGTTTGTATTACTTGAGTCATTTTGAGTTCTTAATTTAATTAAGTCTAGAATAATACAGACTTTGTCATTACTTTTGTGGCATAGATAATTTCTTCTTTAAACCATTGAGTTTAGAGTCCCTAAGTGGTTAAGATTCTGTTGTGAAAGATAGAAATGGTCAACAGTCAGAAAATATTTCAGATATTCAGGCTGTGTCCCTGTATTAAACATGGTGTCCACCTGGTTCCTCAGCTAATTCAACTGCTCTCTCCTCTTCCAAATTTCCCTTCCCACTCTTGCTTTCTGTCTCTACATTTTCTGATTTTTTTCCTTTTTCTTTGTATATTCTTGCCCTTTTCCTACCTGTTATTCTATTTTTCCCCCAATCTCATGTAATTGGTAAAATGTTGGGACAAAGACAGACAATTTTAGAATTTGTGGTTTTTTAGTCATTAGGGGATACCATTGATGTTTTCTGATTCCATTGATGTTTTCTGATTCTAGTAGTTAAATTAAAACACTTGTTGAAGCACAATATACATACAGAAAAGTATATGTATCACAATGTATTTCTTAGTGAATTTTCACATACTGAACTTACCTATAAACTCGTTGTCTAAATCAAAAAACAGAACATTATTAGTCCTCAGACACCCTCCTCAGGCCCCCTTTCCCTTTATTGCTCTGCAGAGATAACCACTACCCTGTTTGCTAACAGATCATTTTTGCACATTGATATAAATAAAAATTATAAAGGTGCTTTTTGTGCCTGACTTCTTAACTCAGTGTTATTTTTGAAATTTATACCAGCAGTAAAGACAGTTGACTTTATACATTCTCAGTTCTTGATTTTGTACAGTATAGATTTCCACTGTGTAAATATACCACAGTTAACTTACCTAACCTATTGATGGTTATTTGAGTTGTTTTTGGTTTTAGGTAAAGCTGAAAGGAACATTCTGTTCACATCTGTTGTGAGCATATATATACATTTTTGTTGAGCACAGTCTTGGAGTTGCTGTGTCATAGTTTATGTATATTTTTGCTCTAATCATTACTTTCTATTTTCCCTGCTTGGTTTACCAATAGACACTAGCAGTGTTTGAGAGTTCTAGTTGCTCCACATATTCACCAACGTGTACATGGTGTCTACCTGGTTAGACCTCTGAATTTTTAATCATTTTTAGGGATATATAATAATATATATCCCAATTAACCTTGACCTTAGCCTGATCCCAATTAAAACTAGTAATGTTGATTCTTTTCATGTTTATTAACTACTTGGATTTCACATTTATAAATTTGTTCAAGTCTTCTATGCATTTTAAAACAAAATAATTGTTGTCTTCTGATTGATCTGTGACACTATTTTATATACCTAGATATGAATCTTTTCTCAGATATAAATATACACAAATAGTTGCAAATATGTTCCCACTCTAGGCTTTATTATTTCTTATTGGTAATTTTGAAAAATAAATTTTTATATTATCCAGTTTCCCTAATTTTTTTCTTTGATGGTTAAGAGCTATCTGTGATTTGTTTAAGAAATCTTCCCTAAGTCCTGAAAATGTTTTGCTAAAAGTTTTACTGTTTGACTTTTCATGCTTAGGATTATAATTCATCTGGAATTGATTTTGTGTATGATTTTTTGGTGGCGAAAATAGACAATTTTAGAATTCATGGTTTTTAGTCATTTGAGGATACCATTGATATTTTCTGATTCTAGTAGTTAAAAACAAGTGTTTTTAAAATTTAATTTAATACAAGTGTTTTTAAATGTAACTATTAGATCAAGACATTTTAAACACTTGTTTTTTAATTTAACTACTATATCAAGACTTTTTTTTCCACATGAGTATATAATTGACTTAGTAATTATTTACTGAAGACTATCTTTTTCTCTTTATCGTGCAGTGTCAATTTTATGATAAATAACAAGACTATGTTAAATGTGGATCTGTTTTTATAGTCTCTACTCAGTTACATAGACAGTTTGTATAAAAAATACCTTAATTACTATAACTTTATAATAGGTCATGATGTTTAGTAGTGTACTATAGATTTTTTTTCTTCTTCAGTATTATCTGTGTTATTCTTTACTCTTTGCATTTCCATGTGAATTTTACAAGTGATGTCTCAGTTTCCCTCCCCCTATCCACCTTAGTCTTGCCAACCAAGCTCAGTTTTGATCTAAACTGGATAAATCTAAAAGATACACAATATACCAACTCTCTGAGTAGACCTGGCATTTTTAGATATATTTATCTTGAAATCTATGAATTTGGCATGCATTTCCATGTATTTGTTTCTTATAAAATTTATCTTGATAATATTATAAATTTTGGCAGTCTTTCTGTAGATTTATTCCTAGTATGTGATATTACTTAATAATACTGTAAAAGGCATTTTTTTAAAAAATTGTTTCTTATTTCATATGTACTTAAATTTTAAACATAGTACCCAGTAATCTTGCTAAATTTATTTATTACTTCTAATAGTTTATTCTTAGATTATTTTGAATTTTTTACATGTATGATCATTAATATGTTAGTAATGGTAGTTTTATTGTTGCTTTTTCAGTTATTGTATCTTATTCTTTTTTTTTTCTTCTTCTCAATACATTGGCTAAGACTTCTATTATAGTCTTAAACAGAAGTGGCAAAAACAAGTATTCTTTTTTTTTTTTTACCAGCCTTAACAGAAAACTCTTTCACCATTGAGTATGATGTTTGCTGTGAATTGTCTGTACCCTTTATCAGATTAAGGAAGTTACTTCTGCTTTGCGAAGGCTTTTATTTTTCTTTATCATGAATTGATTTTGAATTTTGTCAGGTACATATGTGATCATCTTATCAACATGATCATATAAATTTCACCTTTTTTTGTGTTAGTGTGGTTAAATGTTATTTAAATATTAAGCCATCTTTGTGTTCCTGGGAGGGTTGAAGGTACTTACTTGGTTGTGATGGATTTTCTTTTTTTTCCCCTCCAAATCTCTTTTTTGATTTGGCCATTACTTTGTATTTTTATATCTGTGGTCCGTGAGATTGGTTGTACTTTTCCTTTCTTAAAATGCCCTGAATTTAGACATAAAAGTTTTGGTTGTCTTAGAAGAATTGGAAAATGCTTCATCTTTTTCAGTTTTTGGAGAAAATATCTAAATATTTAGAAGAATTTACTGATAAAATGTCTTCTAAATATTTAGAAGAATTTATTGATAAAATATTTTAGACTAAGATTTTCTTTATAGGAAGAATTTTAATTAGATTTAGTTTCTTTACTACATATCAGAGTCTTCACATTTTCTATTTCTTCTGGCAACTTTGTTAGGATATATTTTTTAAGGAATATGTCCACTTAATTCAAATTTTCAAGTTTTGAATATGTATAGCATCAAGAAGGTTGTACCATTTTTTTTTATTCATAATATTGTCGTTTGTTTTTTCTCAATTTTTGATCCATTCAAGGATTTTTGGTCTGAGTCTTCAAAGACTCAGCCTGTAGCTTTGATTTTTTTTTTTTATTGTACATTTGTATACTATTTTTTCTTCTATTTGTATAATTTCCTTCTTTGTACTCTCTTTGGGTTTGATTTGCTGTTTACTTCTAGCTTTATAAGATGAATTTTATAAGAAAGATTTTAGTCTATCTTTCATAGGCATGTAAGACTTTAAATTTCTACCTAAGTATTGCCTTAAGCTGTGTCCCTAAAATTTTTTGACATTCTGCATCTTTATTATCATTCAACCAAACAAAATTTTTATATTTTTATTTTAATTTATTTGGTTATATATTATTTAGAAGTCTGTTGTTCAATTTTGAGCAGCAATTGATTTTTTAGTTATCTTTTTATTATGGGTTTCTATCATCCATTGAAAATTGACCAAACCTAGGCTTTCCTCTTTGCCTGCCTGTTTTGTTTCAGACCTTTTCCCCTAGTGTGATATGTTCTGCTAGCACCACCTAGCCACCAGAAGATTTCACTACCTCTCCACCCTCCCAGAATTCAATTTGTGAGGCAAATTGGCCATGTGCTTAAGGCTTCTCCGTTTTCCAGTTTTATCGCTTTATTCACAGGAAACCACTGAAAACTTTGCTGGTGAACTTCTTTCTGCTTGGACCAAATCTTGATTCTCAGCCCACACCCTGAGTCAGCAAATATTCCAGAGACAAAAGCAGCTGCCATTCTGTCTGTTTACCTCTGACTCAGTCTTTGCCCCCCCACAAACACACCCACTTTCTCTCTCTCTCTGGAATTTTAGTCCATCTAGTATACTGTTACTGTAGTTTTCTAAGGTCTTTAAAATAAGATTTTTGCAATTGTTTGTGTTTTTTTTTTTTCCTGAAGAACTGACTTGCTGCATCCTACTACATTCTACCCAAAAACAGAAGTTCCAGTTATAAATTATTTGAATGAAATATATTACACAAAGAAAATAGATAAAATTATGTTTCGACTCATTTTTTGTTATTGGTGCTTGTTGGGAAAAAACATTACTCACCCTGCTATAATATAATGCATTAGTAAATATATTTTACTCTATGTGTGCTCTGCTGCGTTCTGGCCTTTACTTCTTTTCCCTTGAAGTTCCTTTGTTAACCATGTAAAATAATCATAGATCATAAGGTTTAAATCATATGTAAATTCAAATATGAGGCTAGTTAATTATAACATTGATTTTCTTCTATACATGTAGTTTCAGATGATAATGAAGACATTGATGGTGATGGTGTTCATGAAATAACAAGCCGTGATAGTCCAGTTTATCCCAAATGCTTGCTTGATGATGACCTTGTCTTGGGAGTTTACATTCACCGAACTGATCGACTTAAATCAGATTTTATGATTTCTCACCCAATGGTAAAAATTCATGTGGTTGATGAGAATACTGGTCAATATGTCAAGAAAGACAATAGGTAATATTTTTAATAATGCTGCTAATCCTTGACATTGAAACTGTATGCAGTAGAAGTTGGTATTGTCAATGGAAATAGAGTTATGAATTTGTGTAAGAGTAGTCGACTAGTTCTAAGTGTTCATCTACCATCTAACTGATCAATATGTTTTCGTAAAAGAACGAGAACATTTGTTCATTTCAAGTAAAAGAGGTTCTCTCAAGCTAATTAATGCCACAAAACTTTGAAAATCATCTTATATTGCGTGTAAATGTTCTAGTTGTGTAACTCAGTTTTTTTTTAATTAATATGTTGCCTATCATTTGCCTTCAGTGAGGTAAATGAATCTTGAATTTGCTATTGGCAATACATACTTGAGGGCCAAGTAAAAGAACAAGGTAAATACAATAGATGATGCTACTAACGTTCAAAAAATTAGTTGTTCAGAAATATGGCAGTGGCGGAAAACATGAAAATTGTCAAAAAAAAAAAAGGGCTCTCACTTATGCAGTTGTAAAGAAAATGTGATAGCTCCAAAAGTTGTGCTTTTTTTTTTTTTTTTTTTTTTTTTGTGTACCCAGGATTGAACCTAGGGGCACTAAACCACTGAGCCACATCCCCAGCTCTATTTTGTATTTTATTTAGAGACAAAGTCTTACTGAGTTGCTTAGCACCTTGCTTTTTCTGAGGCTGGCTTTGAAATCATCAGCCTCCTGAGCCACTGGGATTATAGGCATGCATCACCACTCCTGGCCCTGTCCCTTTTTTATATTAACTTATTGTGCAATCTTATCATAAATTTGTTTAAAATTCTGAAGGAATTGCTTTATTTTCACTATATAGTGAAGGTATAATTATGTCTCACTTTATGTTCCTATAATTCTGTGAAAACTGATGGTATATAAATGCAAAATGATAGAAGGCACTATTTTACTTTCAAGTTTTATGAATTTATAATTCTCTAGATGGACTATGAAAATAATTTTTCCTTTTGTATTATGATTTATTATTTCTGGTTGTGTGTCATAATTTTATCTCATCTAAAAATTATGAATTTTGTTGACAGAAATGTCTTTCTTTGAACAGTGAACGACCCGTGTCATCTTACTATGAAAAAGAGAATGTGGATTATATTCTTCCTATTATGACTCAGCCTTATGATTTTAAACAGTTAAAATCAAGACTTCCAGAATGGGAAGAACAAATTATATTTAATGAAAATTTTCCCTCTTTGCTTCGAGAGTTTGATGAGAGTCCTAAAGTCATCTTGTTCTTTGAGGTATGAATTGGATTAAACAATTCAAACTAAATTTTAGTTAATATTTAATTGTGCAAACATAAGTTGTTAAATGTAAGTGGTAAGTAGTTCAGTAATTCAACAAAGTAGTGTGCAGTATGCTGTGAAGGTACAGATAAAACAGTGATAGTTTTCAGTGTAAGAAGTTAGCCATGTGACCTATGCTGTGACATCATTTAATCCTTATAGCAGCCTCATGACTGTTAATTAAAGTGATAAATCTTATCTGTATGAGTGCAGTCCTCCATTTACATAGTATAAGCTTATTTAACTGAGTATCAGACTCCATAAGAATATGTGTGCCACCTGGATAAAAAAAAAAAAAAGAAAGAAACATACATAGATCAGTTAACTAATACAATGTCATATATAACCAAAAATGATGAAGAACTTATTAGATGTGAAGTGAAGGGTCAGAGTAGTCAGAGAAAGATTTATAAAATAGATAGTCTTTGAGCGGATTTGTAATTATAAGTTTTTCCTTTTTTTTTTCCCCACTGAAAAGGATATCAAGGTTTGGCGTAGAGTGATTTCCTTTAAGTTACTCCAATTTTTAAGTTAGGTAATTTATATTTGATGATAATTTCAACCTTGAATACCACATTTAATTTCTCTATTTTATGTTCTCTCCCTGCTAGCAAAGTGAAACAGAGAAAGCCTCCTTTCCAGTTTAACCAAACTGGAAAATTTTAGTATGGGAACAAGGTGCCTGGCATGACTGGAGCTGATGTTTCATTTTGTAGAGTGGCTTATTTTTATGATCCTTGACTTTCAGATTATTTATGTTTGTTTATAATACAAATATTCTATCATTTCATCTATGATTATGTTATGTGTGATGTATATAAAGTTTCTAATTTTTTAAAAAGAAATGTAATTTGTATCTCAAGGAATTTTTTTCTTTGTTCTAGAAACTTGTGATTTGGGGGTAACCCGTAGCGGGATCCTCTTTAGCCCCTGCAAGAGTCCTGTTTCTATACTTCACACTTAAATAAATCCCACTCCTTTAAAAAAAAGAAGAAGAAAAAGAAAGAAAGAAAGAAACTAGTCATTGTGATTTATTATATGTCATTTTATAATCACTTAATTATTAAGAGGTATAAGAATGATAGATTATTGGATTATCAATTTTGGTTACTTAAGTTTTACCACAGTGTGTTTCCTGCCTGCTGATTTCAATTTTTGAAGAGTTTATTGAGGAAAATTTTATAATGTTTATCAGAAGTCTTTAAAACTGTTATTCTACTCCAAGATATTTATCCTAAAAGGAAAGTAACATGTATACAAAGATGTATATGCAAATATTTATTTCATCTCTGTTTATGGCAAAAACTTGAGAGACATTAAGGAACCTAATTTTAATCAGTAAAAGATTTGATTAAATAAATTATGGCTTTTATTACATTTATTTTGTTTTATAATACAGAATTTTAGGTAGACTAGTCATTAACTAGTCATTAGGCAGCCATTAACATGATGATATTCATAGGTTGTAATGACATGGAGATATAGCCAACACATGCTATATGAAATAGTTTGCAAAAGAGTGTGGTATTTGTAGTCACATGCTTACATATATTTAGAAATGCACACAAAAAGGTTTACATTTGTATAAGCCAAATGCTAATGGTAGTTATTTGTAGGTCTGGATTACAAATTGTTTTACTTTGCTTCTGTATTTTTCTATATTGTCAGTGCTTTTTCACTGGACATGTATTATATCTGAAAAAAGATTTAAGAATCTAAAGAAGAGGGATGGATGAAATCCATATTGATGTTTAAGCAGTCTTCTATAAAGTTTTAAATCTCAACTGATCTTTTGATAACCATGAATGCAAAGCAATAGCCTCTAACAAGTACCTAGAATACAATCTCTGTGGCAGTTTGATAGCAAATCCCTGAGATTTAATATATGGATAAGATGAAGGTATGAAAGAAATCTCTTGAGAAGCCTGTTACAACATGTATCCAAAGAGAAAGCCCCCAACTTCAGGAAAGTGATCCAAGCAAGGATTCAGAAAAAATGTCCTGAGTTTTTAAAATAATGAATCCTTTGAAGTCTGCTCTGATACATATTAAATGATAAAGCTTAAGAATTTTATGCCTGGTGTATTTGTGCCTAGACTGCACTTAAGTAATTATTTAAAATATATCTTTTACATTTAGGTGACACGTTATAATTATACATATTTATGGGTTACATTGTGGCATTCCCATAAATGCATACAATGTATGATGATCAGGGCAGTGTAGTTGGCATAGCCATAATATTTGAGGTAATTAACTCTTTGCTTTAGGTTTAAAATAAATCTTAATAAAAGATTTACTAATAAGAGATAAGAGATAAAGTAGCCAAAAAATGAACCCTCAATAGTGGAGTTAACTCAAAGGTGAATGAAATGAGATAAAAATGATTTTACTCTATATAAAGAACACATTTTAAAATATTCGAATGATTTTTAAAAAAATTTTAACAATATGGGGCTGGGGATGTGGCTCAAGCAGTAGCCTGGCATGCGTGCGGCCCGGGTTCGATCCTCAGCACCACATACAAACAAAGATGTCATGTCCGCTGAAAACTAAAAAATAAATATTAAAATAAATTCTCTCTCTCTCTCTCTCTCTCTCTCTCTCCCTCCCTCTCTCCCTCCCTTCCTCCCTCCCTCCCCCCCTCCCTCCCTCTTTAAAAATTTTTTTTTTAACAATATATTAGGCTGGGGTTGTGACTCAGTGGTAGAGCACTTGCCTAGCATGGGTGAGGCAACTGGGTTCAATTCTTAGCATCATACACAAATAAATAAAACAAAGGTCCATCAACAACTAAAATTTTTTTTTAATTTTTAACAATATTTTATTAGAAAATATTAAATTTTAGATAGTCTAGTATTCTATGAAGTAATTTTTGGAATTTACTTGCAGATTGTTGATTTTTTAAGCATGGATGAAATTAAGAATAACTCTGAGGTTCAAAACCAAGAATGTGGCTTTCGGAAAATTGCCTGGGCATTTCTTAAGGTATGTTTTTCATTCATTTTAAACACATTTAAAATAATCTCCAGATTTGGTTGCTTTTCCCTAGACAGTTTAGTCTCATATAAGGAGTTAGAACTTAAAAGAAGATTGCATCATGAAAGTGATGTTAACACAAACTTGGAGACACTCGTTAAGAGTCTTAAATATTTACTGATTGCCTATCCTGTACCACTTCCACTTTTTGGTCCTGGGGATGCAGCACCAAGTAAGATATATATGACCCTGCCAATTTTATTCAATTCAACAGATATTCAGTAAGCCATTTCTATGTGCTGGCCACTGTTTTAGTCAGTAGACTTAAAGAAGACAAATTTGTTGACCTCATATTCTAATAAGAAAAACAAGCATAAAATAACTAAATAGATAATTATTAATTTTTGTAAATACTGTGAAGAGTTATGGGTTGGATTATGAAGCAAGGGTCCTGTGGGATCAGGAAAACTTTCTTAAGGAAGCACTACCTAGGTGGGAGCGTGGAGTGGAGAGTTCTAGGAAAGGGATACAGTGTATGCAAAAATCCAGTTATTATAAGTAGCAAGATCTATTCAGATAACAACAACAACAAAAAAAAGGCTGCTAAGATTGGAGAGTAGAGACTGAAAGAATGGTGCATAAAGAGGTTACTGAGGTCAACAGGGTCTTGATTACATTGGACTTTCAAGCCATGATAAAATTTTTAAAAAGTAATAGGAAGTCATTACAGGATTTAAACAAAAGGATAAAACAATCTGAACCATGTTTTGGAAAGATTACTTTGATCAATGTGAAGAATGGAGTAGAATGGGAGCAATTGTATATCCTTGAAGATCCACAATGGAAATTCTTGCAGTAGTCTGATGTCCTACTTTTGATTTCATCTTAAATTCACTTCTCTTGGACCCACTTTCCTTATCTGTCCCTTCAGATTTGTAAATGCCGTTACTTACTGGACATTTTAATTCAAATGACCAATAGATATCTCAGACTCCCCCAGAGTGAACAAACATCCTAACTAATCTCTTACCCATTTTCTCTCTTCTTTTTTCAGTACTGCCATCTTCCCAGTCTCCCAGTTACACTGTCCATTTTGGTAGCTGTAAGCCACTTGTTACTAGATAAGTTTAGATTAATTAAAATTAAATATAACTATGAATTTGGTTCTACAGCCCCTTGTGTTTTGTAGCCCCATGTGACTAGCGGGTTCTGTTCTAGAAAGCACAGGTGTACAGCACTTCCACCATCATAGAAAGTTCTGTTGGACAGTACTCCCTTGGAGTCTTTCTTGACTCTTTTAATGTTTCAAGTTATCAGTCAGTAAATGTTATTAAATATGTCTTCTGCACTCACTGACTACTCTTCTTTTTTTTTTAATTATTGTTGGTTGTTCAAAACATTACATAGTTCTTGACATATCATATTTCACACTTTGATTCAAGTGGGTTATGAACTCCCATTTTTACCCCATATACAGATTGCAGAATCACATCAGTTACAC